ATATATATATATATATATGAAATATATATGTAGACCGAGCAGCATCCATTTTTGTATCTACTACATACATAGATCAGGCGCTCTCTGGCTATCGTGGTCTGACCCAGCGCGCGATGAACAACATAGCCATCGTTGCAGCCGAGATCGAGAATGAAATGCATGCAGGTGCCAAGACAGTCACGCCACGTGTGGATTCATTGGATGTGGATGTGGATAATACGGCCGATAGCGAGGACGAAGACTTGTTTGTGGGTGCGCCAGGTAACGGTGGGTGGACTGATGTGCTGCTGATGTGTGTCTTCTGGTGAGGTGTGGTGTCGCAGGGCGTGGAGTGGGTCAGGCGTCAGCTGTGTCATGTGCTTGTTTATTATCCGCTCATTTTTATTGTTCTATGTTATCTGCTTTATCATATGCTTGTTTATTATCCGTTCAATTGTAGTGTTCTGTGCTATCTGCTGTGTCTGTGTCCGTTGTCGTGGTGTGGCTCGTTTGCACAGTGACTGTTCCGTGACGCGTCATGTCGCATGTCATGTCACGTGTCATGTCAGCTGCCATGTCGTTGGGTGTGTCACGCGTGTCACATTTCTTATCCGACCTACAATGCGAATAATGGCAATGGAAGGATCCTTCATTCACACCCTGGCCACTCGGGTATGATGTATTGAAACACTGTCCAGCAGCACTTGCATGGATTAGATACATAGATAATATATGTACAAGGATCACAGTCATGGATAATATATGTACAAACATCACAGTCATAGATAATATATGTACAAGCATCACAGTCATAGATAATATATGTACAAGCATCACAGTCATAGATAATATATGTACAAGCATCACAGTCATAGATAATATATGAACAAGCATCACAGTCCAGCAGTACTTGCATGGATTAAATACATAGGATATGCACATAATATATGAACAAGAAGGACAGTCATAGATACTATATGTACACGAATCACAGTCATAGATAATATATGTACAACCATCACAGTCATAGATAATATATGTACAACCATCACAGTCCAGCAACACTTGCATGGATTAGATACATAGGATATGCACATAATATATGAACAAGAATCACAGTCATAGATACTATATGTACACGAATCACAGTCATAGATAATAGATGTACAGACATCATAGTCCAGCAGCACTTGCATGGATTAGATACATAGGATATGCACATAATATATGAACAAGAATCATAGTCCAGCAGGAGTTACAAGGATCACAGTACGGCAGGAATGCCTATCGCCACAGCTGCAACGAGCTATACGCAACTGCTCATAGACCATCGCTTTTGGTCAATGGCAATGATAAGTACTGCACATCACAATCATATGTACATAGCCTACTAAAAAGACAGCAGGATGTGATATAAAACATGTAAGTATATATTATCATTTACATACGCATGGTAGTGGTTGTGAAGCTTCTTACTTAATTGCACCAACAGACACAAAAGTACTCAAGCTGATATATATACATATAT